GAGTTTGAATTTTTTAAAGTTCTTAAACTGACATATACTCATAACATTGATCATCTGTGAAGTCATCTGAGTATTCTGAGTAGTCTGAATCTGTAAACTCATCATCATCAAACTGTTTAATCATAAATAGGGATCTTTTAGTCTGCTCATGATTAAGAGAGAAAATTGATTCAAGATTATCATCTGAGAGATTGATACCAGAGATATTAGCAATGTCTTGGATCATTTTGATTGATTTTTTGTCTGACTTTGGGTAATTCTTTGAAAAATGTCTTGATTTTCCATAAAAAAAAACATTTTAAACTTTTGATCTTTGGATCTTTCTTTTTTTTGGTAAATTTGAATCTTTGAAATCTTCTGGGCTTATCAGTATATCTGAAAAGCTTCTTATGTCTAGGTCTAGAGAAAATTAAAGGTCTGAAAGGTCTGAATCTTTTGAAATGCTTATTTTTCTTATTGCTATAAAAATATGTGGGTTCTTTGGAAGAACATTTGATTTGAAGTCCTGATGAGGAGTAAGAACATGGTTTTTTTAGCTTTTTAGAGTTGTGCACTAGGGTTTTAATGTATTTGTGCTCTTTGTAAATCTTATCAAGTGTTTTTAACATCATCTTATAGATATCTTCAAGGGTCATAGATTTAACATCAAGAGATCTGAGGTTTAACTGGGTTCTTATTTACTGTGTAAGTTCTTTTGAAACAAAATTAAGAAAGGCTTACTTTAAATTGACATCATCGAATCCACCAAATATGTAAAAATACTGAAAGAATTATTGATAGTGTTTGTCAAGATCTTTTGGATGGGGAGAATAGCATTTTAGTTTGAAAAATTATTCTCTAATCTTTTTCAATCTGTGAGCTTCATGTCCATAAAATATTACTGCAAATTGAGAAACAACTTCTGTGATTGTTGGGCATTGAAGAAACTGAAGTTGTCTGTATTCACAAATGTTATCCCAAAAGTTTTTCAGAGTTTCAACTAGTCTGAAAATAAATCTAATCAATACTATGTTCATCGTAACATTGGGATGAGAGTTTAATTCAACGAGTCCTCATGCTAAGAACTCTTGGAATCTTAAGGGTCATTTTGAAGGAGGAATATCATCAATGGTAAAAACTGAGAATTTTGATGTCGAAAGAAGAACATGTGATTGTTGTGGAGGAGGATATTGTTCAGCATCCATTGCATCAGGGTTGTGAACTTCTTGAGTATCATCTAGAACTTCAACTGTTGGTTCTGTCATGAAAATTTGAGGGAGCATTAATTCATCTGAGTCATCAGTATCATCTACTTCAACTGATTCATTTGAGTTGATAGTGTCCATGTGGGATTCAGTCTCAAAGGTAAAAAAAAAATATCTTCAAGGGAGAATTGAGGGAGATTATCTTGTGCCATATGGTGAAGTATTTCTGAAAGAGTTTGTGTAAGAGAAATCATAAGTTGTACAGTTTTTTGGTCTGGTTGTGGTGTAGGGTTTTGAGGTGTAGAACTTGAGCTTGGTTTTGGTTTTGAAGGTTGAGAAAGTGGTTGTTCTGTGACTCTTTTGGGTTTTGGATCAACTGATTGTTTTTTTCTAAATCTGTGAATCTATTTTTCAGTTGTACCAAAAGGGGTTGTTCTGGTTGGTCTGAGATAAGAGTAAAGTATTGTGTTGGTTGTGAGGATGTTGGGATAGATGTTGAGGGAGTTTTATACTGAAAAGGTGTGAAAAAAAGTTTTGGAGGTGAGGTTGAAGGATTGTATGGTTGAAATGGAGGAGGAGTATAGGCTTGGTAAGGAGTATCATGCATACCAGTGTGAAATGGTGTGAAGATGTTGTAACTAGAGGCTGCCTGTTGTTGTTGTTGTTTCTGACGAAACTGATTTTAAAGATCTGAAAGTTGAATCTTTAGGCTCTTCATTTTTTCTCTCGTTCAATGAAAGCATAAGTGAATTCAGTGTTGGTTTCAACTATATATCTGAGTTCTTGATCAAGTGTTATTATCTTTGACTAAATTTCAAGAATAATAATTTGAAGATTGACAAAGCTTTGATCAAAATGATGACTGACTTGGTCTAACTTGTGTTCAATTCTGTGCAGGTATGAATTCAGTTTGCCAGTTTAAAACTACTTCAGTATAAGAAACACTTTTTTGGTTCTCATATTCATCTCTGTTAGTGAGAGTGGGGATTTTTGGAATATGTTTGTACTGGTCTTTATGAAACTCTTGAAAATGAGGGAAATCTGAACTTGGGAAGGTTGGTTGCATCATTGAAATTTGTGGTAAAGGTTTTGGTAAATGTTGGGTGGAATCTGATTTTTGTGTGATTTGATTTGAGTAGGTTTGAGATAGTGGTTTTTCTTTCTTAGGATAGATGACATAGTAGTCAAACTTTCTTGAGGGTTCACCAAGGTGATCAACTTCAGGGTCTCCATTCTTATATCTTTCTTTGAGCTTTTGTTGGGAAGACTTTTTAAGTACAGCAGAAGGAGCAGAGGATAAACTAAAAGAAGATATAAAAGAAGAAGGTTGAGAACTAGAGTTGCTAAGAGTTGATAGATCCATGAAAATAAGACTCTCTTTTAGATTTTCTTTTTCCAACTTCAATAATCAAGGCTTTAGAAACATATTTTTCTTCTCACTATCTTGGCAAGCTTCAAGCTCTGATACCATTTCTATACACAGTGACAGGTAGTACAGGCTCTGGTAACTGATGGCTTCTGTTCCAAATAAAACGTTAGTAAGTAATATTTTAATTACTTTTTTTTAATAATATAAGTTTATATTTTTATAATATCAATATATAAATATTATATATAGTAAATAAATCACATAATAACATCTTATAAAATTTTATTTTAAAATATTAAAAAACAAATAAATCTAATTTTAAAAATATATTTAAAATTAATTTTTTTATAAAAAATTATTATGTGATTTACTGATAATATTAAATTTTATATATTGTAGTACATGAAATATAAATCCATAGGATATTTCTTGCTTATAAAGCAAGAATGCAAGAGTACTTCAAGCTTCAAAACAAATTAAGACATCACATAATATTTTAATTAGTGCAAAATGATATTTTGAATACTATAATTTTTAATTGAAACAAATTTTGAACTTTTCAAAATAAAAGACATCAAGTATACTGTATTATGTACATATATTCAAAGCATACATCTTATTTAAGAAATCAGCAAGTATCTATAACATACGGTTGTCAAATTAATCAAGTCAGCTATGAAGGTGTTGAGTTTATATTGATGTATAGCGTTATCAATTTGATATTTTACAAAGGAGTGCTAAAACAGAAGTGTTAACAAATGCTTTACATAAATTTCAAATGTATATATATATATACACACACATATATATATTACCATTTTATTCAGTTTATGAAGTTTGCAATAAAACTCATCAAGTTTATATCAAACTTACTCAATTGTGAAATTAAACCTCTATTAAATTTAACGAATTAATTGCTTGGAGAAAAAATTAGGCTTATACTTATTCATAGGTCGAGACTGATTAGATCCGATTGGTCTTTTAAATGGTTTGTCCAAAGTTTGATCAATCAAATCTAGAGGCTGAATTTAAAAATATATACATTAATATTTTAATATTTTTAAATAATATTTTAAATTAAAACTAAATAAAAAAATTAAATTTTTATTAATTAAATAATATTTCAAATGAGATCAATCAAATTTAGAGATTGGATTTGGGCTAAAAAATCCATGTTCAAGGTCTGATGAACCAAATCTTCTGGTCTGAACATATAACCTGACCTTTAAACAGGTTTAAGCTTAGATAAGAATATTTTTATTGCATTATTATTAATATATATAGATCTCAATTAAAATAAATAATAGAAGAAACCAAAATTGAGTATGTGATTAGTTACCAACATTTGTTCAAAACATTTGTTCTAAAGCGATGTTTGTTCAAAACCTTGACCTGCAAAAGGTTACGATCTGGCATTTAATTTCCATCAAAAAGTAAAATGAGACTGATTTCCTATTTGATAAAATACCATCCCTGTTCTTGTGCCTTTATATATAAATAAATGTCATTCGCAAAAACTTGGGAATTCATCATTTTCCTCAGTCAATCATCGACATTACTAAATAACTACTCACATCTTTCTTCTAAAATTAAAGATCTTAAATGTAAAGCCCTAATTTCTCCAAAGTTATCATAAAACATCAAAGGGTTTGGGGTGAAAGTAAATAAAGTATATTACAATAAATTAAAATGATATTGGTGAAAGTTCATGCCAACATAGATATGATCAATTAGTAAAGAAAGTTCACGGCAATAATTATATGATCGGTTAATAGAGAGTTGAACTCTTAATTTTATTAACCAAGATTCTATTCTTAACAATTTTAAATACAAAAAAAAAAATAATGATTATAATTTAATGTTTGATTTTATGCATCTATTGCATGATTCTTCCATTTACTGCAGAGCGCATTTGAATGATGAGTTTTAAAATTCTGAAGAAATTCAAAATGAAGGCATTTTAAAATGCGTATCATTTCAAAATGTTAATATAATGAGAGAAAAATAATTATAAAAGAAAATTAATGATATTAAAGATAAATAAAATGTATAAATAAAATATACAATATAAGGATCATTAGATTTGTAAAAATAGAAAAATATTATTATTAATATAAAAAATAAAAATATATATTACAGTTAAATAAAATTATTTTTTTTTTGAAAATTTTATTTTATAATGAACCATGTGTAGTAAAGAGAGAAAAGATTTGGAGGAATTTAAAAAAAAAAAAAAACCACCTATTTAGGTGGAATTTCAAGAGAAAAATTTTGAAATTCTCTCTTCTTTTTACCCAAACAAATAAATTCATTTTTTAACTTTTGAAAATCTTAATTGAAATTAAATTTCTCTTCCAAACACCTCATCCAAACACACCTCAAGGTTTTCATCAAACAAAAATAGCATGATTGGAAGGGGAATAACAAGTAACAAAAATCATATCTATGATATGTAAATTGAATATTACTCTATCCATACCAAAATTATGGTAATGATATTTACTATTATCAAACTTTAATAGCAATTAGCCATATAAACTCATGAGTTCAAGTATATCTTAGATCCCAATAACATTTAATTTTCTCTTAAACAAATTATTAACCAAAGTAACAAAATTCACGACCAACAGTCAAAATTGTCTATACACATTCAATATTTATGAAATGTGCATAGAAATAATTGTGATCATTGGTAGTGAATTTAGAAGTAATTCTGAATTATTACATATTTTAAAAAGTAAATATAAGTATAGTAACTAATATATATTGAATTCAACTAATATACCTTGTCAAGAGAGTTTTATTAGTGCAAGGGAACTTTTGCCACTCATCAGAATGTGATTTAAGGATTTTCATAGCTTTTTCCTTCAAATATGTTGCACAGTCAACTTGCAGCAACATGCAAAGCTTTGTTACGGTTCCAACATCCAACATTTCTTGAACAACCAAATTCGTGGCAGAGAATTTGCTTATCAGTGAAAGGATCAGCACGGCTCGATCGTCCACCGTCGGAGAAACTCTCAGAATCCTCTTTGTCACCACGGCCACGCCTCCTTTATGGCTAAGAAACTCAGCTCTCCCATTTGCACAAGAACATAGATGGAAGATTATTCCAATAATAAGTTCGGTTGTTCTCTTTCAGGTGATCCCAATTCAAGCTCGATAAGCGCAGAAATTGCTCCTGATTCAACCATCATTAACCTATTTCTTCCCCAAGGACAAGTATCTAATAGAACATGCAAAGCTGAATTCATTCCCTGTTGAGTGACCCTGGTCCCTGATTTCAAAATTCCAACAATCGTCGCAAAGAACTGTGGTTCTAATCTTTCAAGTACAATAGAACTTGTTGTTTCAACGATTGTTTTCAATAATAAAACCGCATGGGATTTTACCATAACGTTGGTTTTGAATTCACGTCCTAATACCCAAATCAATGATTTGATAATCTGATCATTTTCTTTGGGAAGCAACTTTGCTTCAGCTGGTGAAATTCTAATTAAAAAAAGCACGCTTAGGGCTTCTTCCAGGCCATTGACACAGACTTCCTTGAAACAATTTACAATAAACGATAACATAGCTTTAGGCACACCAGCCTGCACCATATAATTCCTGTTTCTTCCTTTTTTGGCCGCCAACAAATCCAGTTCTCTCAGGGTTTTCATCTTGGAATCAGGATGTTGAAGGTCTTTGATGAGTTTAAGGAAATGGGACTTATCAATGGCAGGTTTAGGGGTAGGAATCCGGTCAACGCCGAGCGAAGCATTCTCAGTGCACCAGGCTTGGATCAACCGACGCAGAGTATGGTTAGGCGTTAAATCGGAGTCTCTAGGCAAAGGCTGCTGGGTGACTGGACAGCTGGTTTTTTTGCCAACAAGTAGCCATTGCTCAATGCTGTCTCGATCATAAGTGATACCGGTTATAGCAGTCACTGGGTCTTTCATGATTTGCAAGGATATGGGGCAAATGAAATACTTGGGTACTTCAACATCATCATCCATTGTATATTTGGAAAACAAAATGGTACAAAAAGATTGATTAAAAAAAGCAGTAGAAGAAAGAAGCTGAAATTGCAGGGCTTTGTTTTAAGACAAAAGTGTGGAATGGGGGGAGAGGTTTGAGTGGTAAGAGAATGCGGCTTAATTTATTGACAAAATTGGGAAGAAATAAGGGATTGGTCGTCTCTTACTAGTCAGTGGATTCTCATGAATCATCGCTTCCCATTAAATTCATTCCAAAGTGGGAGTTAGTTGGTCAAAGAGAGAAAAGTTTAGGCTTTTGCAGATATTAAAGGAACACGTAACAGCATATCTGATGTCTTTTCTTTCTTAAAGAAATAAAATCATCATTAATATTTCTTTCCTTTTTTTTTTTTTAGTTTTTAAATCAAATGGAACTTCATATGATAGTTAATAATAATTTATAAAATTGAAGTAAAAATTTTGGTAGTTGCTATTCATAACCTAGAAAATGTACTATTATCTATCCATCAAACATTAAATTTAATTAATTGATACATAATTTTTTTAAAAAAAAACTTAAATCCATTATATAAAAAAAATTAAAAATAAAAAGCTATTAGTTTTTAGAGTATTATTTATTGGATTTATATTTGATGTATTATGAGAATATAAATTTTATATATTATCAATAAATTGAATAAAATCATTTTATTAATGAGATAAATCAAATCATATTATCTCATTAATAAATAATTTTTTAAAAAATTATTTTTTATATATTTATTTTAAATATTAATATTTATTCATTAATAAAGTAATATTATTTGATTCACTATAATAATGTATAAAATCTATCTACCGACAATATATCAAATATAAATTCTTATTTATTAAACTTACCTTAACTAGAATAATTGAATGACTAATACATATGTTCTTAAAGCTATAAAGATATAAATTACATTATAATAAAACTATAAAAAATTTTATGGTATACATTAGAAGAAAATAGCTAAAAATCTATCTATTTTTATGGTATAGACTTATTATGTCATGATACGGTACAATCCAGCAAAATATCGTGGAGGATCATGAATTTGGGTCAATTAAACTTTTCTAGAAATGGGAAAAAGTAAAATATATATATATATAATTATTCTATATGGTTTCATTATAACCATTGATCATTTTTTAAATTATGAATAATTATCAGACATTAATATCATTTTTATCTTAATTAAGTTTGATTAGTTTGAAAATTGTTACAATTAATAATTGAATATAAATATATAAATAAAGATTTAATATCACTCTTTAAAAAAAAATTCTAATTCACATTTTTTCACAAGTAAAATACCATCGAGTTTTGAACTGTGCAAAATGGATAATATACATAGTTCCATTCCATGAAGCCCTTTTTTTTTTTTTTTACTTTCTAAGATTCAAATGTGAAATATTTCATTTAAAATTAAATTTTAAATTATAATTGTTGGTAATTTTCATGTCTTTTTCGTTCTAAATAACTATTACCTTACATAGATGTAACAAACAAAGTCTTTAATTTCCCTTTCTTCTTTGTCAAAGATGCTCATCGAGTAAACAAAAGTAGATAAGGAAATACGCGTGGACTATATTCACAGTTCTTGACTAACAACCAGATTCACGGTTTCTTGATATATAAATCATGATTTAAGTTTTTTTTTTATTATTATGGTTTAAATTCTAATTATTAAAACTAGAATATAATATTTGATCAATAGATTACATTACTATGGATTCAAATATTAATTTTTGGGTTGCTATTAATTTTTTTTAATGATGGAGATTTTATTTCAATATTAATTGTTATATATAACAATTAACTTTTGCTATTATCTCATGAATAGGTTAACGTGTGATAGATATTAATTTCTTTTTAAAACTCATAAATTAGTTTAAGTAAGTGGAAGCCGTTAATAAATAAAAAATATAAAATATATTTTAAAATTAAAATTAAATAAAAATTAATTTTTATTTAATTAAATAACATCTCAGGTCATATCAAGTTAAACTCAAACTTAAAAAACATTGCTTAAAACCTTCCAAGAATCGATGTTAGTTTATTAATTGATTTATTTATTTAATTTAAATCTTTAATTTTATATAATATTTAAATATAACTATAATTTTTGTACTAATAATTTCATAAAAAATTAAAACTTTACATGTATAGAACTTCAGAACACCAAAGCTCACAACCCACAATCTCTCTGAAAATTCTAGAGTTGGGTCCATCAATCTGATAAGGACGTAAGCCCACGCATATCATGTGGATTTGGGGTCAAAATTTTCTCTAAAGACTACTGTAATGGGAGTCCCCATCGTCAGACTAAAAAGAGTAAGTCAACGGGTGGCTTTACTTAATTATTACTCTGATCAAGGGCATATAATACATCTACTAATAATTGCTTATTGGTGCATGTATCGCGAGTCGGGTCAAAACTTAAACTTTAATTTGTGTGATTTCAAGATTTTGATATACATTCATCCGATATTTCAGATCAATATATTTGTTACAGTTTATATCATTATAAAGTATTGTTCGTTTTAATCTTTTTAACTTCACGATTTTATCTTACAAAAAGTATGAACCATTTTATACTTCAGTGATACTCTTTTTATGTACGATATGGGATTCAAGATTTTTCTTTAGGTCCGTGACATTCTCCCTCACTTAATTTCATGACGCCCTCATCACAGAGGTTGGCTACCTTGTTTACCTCCTTCGAGACGCTTGACGTAGATCAAACGGTTTAAGGTTGACTTTGATACCAACTGTCACGGGTTGAGACTCAGTCTCCAAGCCCTAATGACTCCAGGATCCGAGCATCCACTCATCTAATATCCCAGATCAGTGTACCTATCACGGTTCACACTTTTGTAAGATATTATCCGTTCTGACCCCTCTGACCTTCACGGTTTTATCCTACAAAAAGCGTCTCACAAGAAAGAGATGGTGTTAAACCCTTTTATACCCTAGTGACCCTCCTTTTATATTTGATGTAAGATTCATGATTTTTTTTTAGGTCCGTGACATTTTCTCCCACCTAATCTCGTGACTCCCTTGTCACCGAAGCTGACCACCCTGCCTACCTCACTCGAGGCGCTTAGCGTGGATCAAATGGTTTAAGACTGTCTCTGATACCACTTGTCATGGGTCGAGATTTAAGCTCCAACCCGCGCGGCTCTAGGACCCAAGCATGTACTCATCCGACGTTTCAGATCAACTTACCTATCACGGTTCACACTTTTATAAGATATATCTGCTCTGGCCCCTCTGACCTTATAGTTTTATCTTACAAAATGACTCTTACAAAAAAAAGATGGTGTGAATTTTTTTATATTCCAATGATTTTTTTTTATGTCTAATATATTATTCAAAACTCTTTCTTAAATCCGTGACACGTACACTTGCCTTGGGTATGAATGTGATATGACACCCCCGCTTGTTCAAGCGTATGATTTTTCTTCTCAAAATCCCTGGTCAATCCGATGGGCTGCACCCTTCATAAGTTTCAGACGTTCTAAGTTTTCTTTAATGCTCCTTTTAAAAAAGGGAAAAAAATAAAAACTCATTTTCTTCGTGGGGCTGCAAAGTTTTGATGAAATGTATATGGTTATGCCATAGAAAGTACCAGATCAGGCTTGATTTTAAGGAAAGACTCATATGAGATTTTTTAGATGAATATCGTGATATTTTTTATTAAAAATAATTAAGTAATAATTAAAATTAATGGATTGAAAGTTTTTTATACATAAACAAGTGTATAAATTTTAAAAAAAATTTATATATTTTTATTAATATTTTCGTTCAATTCTATTAATTAATTTGTTTTAATTTTTAATTAGAGTTTAATTATATCGATTTTGTTAAAGAATTTCATAAATTTTATTTAGAGAATTTCATCTAAGTTTTGTCTTGATTTTAAAGGTTTAGGAAAAAGTTAAGAGAGAGAGAGAGACATAGATTTGGGATGCTTATTGTTAATGCAAAATGAGATTTTGAGGTGAGTACTTCGCCGGTGTCGTGGAGATGAGTTGCTATGGACTTGAATATGAAGGGAACAATTAGTTGGTGAAGATGGGAAGTGGCTCGACGGAAAGATTGTACATGATAGAAAAAATTGTAAAGTTACCGCAGCTAAATTAAAAGATAAAAAAATAAATTCAAAGCTTATAAATTTAGTTAGTTAATACAATTATTCTTAAGACATAATATTGAGTAAATTTAAATTTTAAAATTTAAATCTAAACATCTATAATTTTTTTATCTATTTTAAACTGCAATCTCTTTTGTAAAAAAGAAAAAATAAAAACAAAAACTTCATAACATTGATTGAAATAATTTGTGGTGACAATATTGTATAGTTGTAAAGAAAGAGGTGACTTGGTATGTAATATAAAGTTTTTATCTGATTTTACATAACTTTATTTATGTTCTATCATTTGTAATGAAATTTTAAGTTTTTAAAAGTATCTAAGCCAAAAAAAAAAAAAAAAGCAATATTGCAAGTCGTTGATGTTTGAATGGAATAGATAATTCTTCAATTGTTTCTCAACTCGCAATTTTAACAATGGTGATATTTTACTTAATGTTTCTAACGCATTTCGTAATTAAAAGTTTCAAAGTCATTCTAACGTATTTCATAATTAAAAAATTTCAAAATCGAATGGTAATTAAAGAATGAATATTAATAGTCTTACACGCTTGTAAAATTTTCTCCATTCGTCAATGAAATTTAAAATGAAAAGAAGACTGAATACCATCCAAAAAGTTGGGTAAAAATACATGAAAAAAACAGGTAAGAACATGTAAGTCATTGGTTTTAAGTGAAGTTATTGATATATTTTTGTAAGCTTACAATTTGATCATGGCTGAACACTTGTAACTTGATAATGTTTGAATGCTTATGTTATATGATTTTAATCTTTTCTCTATATTTTCCATTCTTTGTTAATGGAATTTTTTTATTTTTTAGATATTATTGGATAGTTTTTAAGTTGGTAGAGAGCATATGAAAAAAAAAAAAAAAACCGTCTGGACAATTCAAGTCATCAATGTTATGTCATGATGGACCTTGATTATTTCATTTTTCGGTCAAATTTTCAATTTTTTTAAGGAGACTGCAATCTAAAGATATGTAGAGAAGATTTTATAATATGATTTTTTTTAATAAAAATATCACAATTTGAAATTTAAAAAAAAAAGTTACAAATGTTATAATTCAAATTTTAAATTTACTGAATATTATTTTTTGAAAATGATTACATAAATCAATTATTGAGCTAAACTCTAAATTCATATATTATAACCTTAATTCAACAATTAATAGCTTGAATTTGAAAATTTTCTTAACTTTAAATTTTCAAATATCAATTCTTAATAAAAATGAGATAATTATGAAATAAAAGAGAATTACCTCCTTTTTTATACACAAGATACTGCAAATGCGCAAAGCTTAAAATCAAGAGCTATATATCAATTATGAAGCTTGAAAACAAAACATGATGAGTCCACCACCAGAGCAAAAGAATGATCCTTCCTCTTATAAATGTTACTTTTGTACACAATCTGCATCTAAATGAACACAAAGAAATAAAAAATATTATGTTGAAGTCCATACAACAATTTGTTTTATTGAAAGAAAATAACATTTCGGGTTAGGTTAGAATCACTCATTCGTCAATATTTTGTTTTCATCAGATTCAAGATTGTGACCAACGAAATAACTAGAAATCAGCATGTCACTTTCTCATTTGAATGATTCAACAATCATTCAATGAGATGAACAAAAAAACAATCATGTAAAAAATAGGCTTATCAACTCTTCTCCAAAACTTGATGGCATGGACATATATGAATATCTGTTGAATGTAACAAGTTACCCATAATTAGCCGCCCACTTAGCAGTTCACATTAAATCTCTCACATAATGAGTGATTTTTTTTAAAAATATGATCATGGGTATTTCATGCTTTGTTAGAATACTTTTTATATGAATGATCAACAAGGAAAAAAAAAAAAAACCTCTACTTTGCAACAAACCCATGTAAATGAAATCGAATAGTTATGTCGTTTAATAATAAAATGTTGAATTTTTAATTTTAATAATCATAACTTAATTTAATAAAAAAAAAAAAGGGGAAACCAATAAATTTTAGGATAATATTTCATTTGTAATGAGATGTGGGCCATTTGGCTGCCTTCTACTTAGATTCTTGCCCCTTGCTTGTGAGCATCACATAGCAAAAATACCTAATTTTAAAGTGAAAATTCTAGAACATGTTCAGGTTTAATTTGTCATAAAACAAATTCTCATAAAATTACAAGCTAATTACACAATTCTCATAAAACAATTTTAATACTAACCAAAAAAAAAATTCACATCACATGGGCCTTATTTGGCTGCTAAATGGCAGACAATTGGTCTTAATTGAAAAAAATAAAATAATCTTAATTTTATCCATATTTATTCATTTTATACAAGTGAAATGTAATGTCTTATAAATATTTGATCAATTAATGATAAATGCATGTATTTTTTTATCGAAACTTTATTTTTAAAATTATTATTTTAGAGTCATAATTATGAAATGATATAGAAAATTAGATGTTAAGACTTCTTTGTTTTGTTTTATTTTTCCTTGTTCTTTTTCCATTTAATTAATTTGATTGGCTATCAGATGACTTGAACCAGCTGCCGGTCTAGAAAATTGTTTTATCAATTGTTGAATAACACATTTCCATAACAGGGTTTGTCCATTTCATGGCCCAACAAGTCGGCTGGTCATTGCTTTCATTAGCTTATTATTACTTTGAATTTCCATTTTCAACGATTGATTTTCCAGCTTCCAAGTCCACCCATTTTGTTTGTTTCTTCTTTTTCTGTTTGTTTAATTCCACTGCCTAAGTCCACACTCCAGTCCTTTTGAACACTGGAAAATATGAAGCTTCTCAATTCTCGCCTACCTAACAGTTATTATAATTATACTCATAATTTCAAGAATTAAAAATTTAACAAAATTGATTTATGTAATTATTTTTTAAAGATGATATTTAATAGATCTAAATTTTAAATTTTAATACTTAAATTTCTTTCTTTATTTGTAGATTGTGATTTTTTTATAAAAAAAATATTAATAATTCGAGGCTTTTAAAAGAATTAAAATGTGTGAGTATTAATTATTTTAATAAATGATGTATTTTTTATGATTAAAAGAAAATTCTAATTTCGGTCGTTGCAAATCCCATTAAGACTATTTGTTTCATAAAAATTAGTTCTAAAAAATATTTTTTAGAAAATATTTATGTTTTTTGGAAAAGTAAAGCTTTTCTTTATATGGTTGAGTCAATAAAAAAAAAATATTTTCAGTTATTTGATTGTTTTTTGAAAAATACAAAAAATATATTAATATTAAACACTTAAAACAAAACTATTTGTTATTTGTATTAATATTTTAAAGATTTACAATAGTATTGATATTATTAAAATATTATTTTTATTAATATAATAATATTAAATATAGTAATATTTAATATTAAAATATTAAAAATATTTATACTATAAAAATAGTTATATTTTATATTGAAAATATCTATTATAAATCATAACAAAAATATTATTTATTTATATTTATTATTAAAATAGTAATATAATGCATTAGTCTATAACATATGAAAATAATATATTTTAAATTGAAAAATAAAAATTGTTTAAAAATAATCATATTATTAAAATAATATTATTATATTAAATCATATTAATTGTAAAAATAATAAAATATTATTTACTATATTAATATTTATTATTAAAATAATAATATAATACTATTTCTTATTGGAATATTAAAAATATTTATGTTTAATAATATACAAAATAGAAATGTTTAAAATTAAAATATCAAAAAACTTTTAATATTAATATTTTAATTTAATTAAAATTAAATAAAATTATTTTTATTAATATAATAATATTTTAGTCGGGTCAAATAAAACTTGAGTTTAAATATCATATTTAAGGCCTCTTTAGAGTAAAATTATAAAATTATTTAAAATTAAAATATTAAAATACTTTTAATATTAATATTTTAAAATTTTTAAGTAAAATTAAATAAAAATATTTTTATTAATATAATAATATTTTAAATCGAATCAAATTAAATTTAAATATAAAAAATTATGTTCAATATTCGATTTACACATAACTATAATTACGAGTTTAATAAGTAATTTCACCCATAAATAATTTTTTTTCAAAAAATTATTTTTTTCTTTAAAAATTAATTTTCAAAAAAATTAATCTTATATTTTCGTTGAACAACTAATTTTTTGTTAAACAAATATAAAAAAAGACAAAAATAATTTTTCGCGAAATAAGAGTTTAAACAAAAAAAGAAAACGAAATAGTAGTAGTTGCAGGACAGCTTTCATGTGAAAAACATTGAAGCGTGGCAATTACAACTTTCGCCTTAATTAGCTTAACCATCATCACATGTTTTGCTAACCTAATTATCAAACCAGCAGAAACAAGTCAATTTCTGCTGCAGGCTGTTTTATATGGTCAAATTACTTCAAATTATATGATTGATTCAGTAAAATAATAGCAATTACTCAAATTAAAAAAAAAAAAAAAAAACTAACAGGTAAACTTTTTTAGAGTTTGGACATGAAAAATATTGAATCTATTTTCCAATATCTATTAGTAATCTACATCTAGCACCTTCCAATTTCATGAAGCACAAGGAAATGACTTTCTTTGAGAAGAAATATAAACATATTGTGTAAACACTTAATTTTTATTAAGCAACAAAAATTTTGAGTTTTTCTTAGCATATCTTCTTCCTTTTGTTGCTCCGATTTGTCATGAACCAAGTGAAATTTTAATTCAGTTTACTAACCCAAAATTTAATTTAAAGAAAAAAAAAAAAGACAAAACTAGTTGGCGAGTAGGTTTGGAGTGGGGGGCGGGTAAGCCGTGGCAAAACCCAACCCAAGAATTTTCTCGAGTCCAAGAACATCTTTTGGGCCAATGGCTCCAGAGATCTGCCCATTCATCTTAATTCTCAACTCACTTCAATGTTCGATGTTAAATGTTCAATGTTCAAAGTTCAAAGTTCCAACCTTTCTCTCTGACCGATAGAGAAAGAAAGAGCTTTTTTTTTCTTCTTGTCTACTGCTTATGCGACTTCAAAGTAAAAGAGAAGGTATTACTTCAACTTCTTTGCATCCATTTTCCACTGGGTTTTTAACGTTTTCCTTTAATTCTTTATTTATTTAAACATCTACCCATTTTAGATAAGCCACTATTTAGTTTTTATAATCAAGATTCTTGGGTCAAATTGAACTTTTTTTTAAAATTTTTTTTGGCCTAGTTTGAGTTTCGATTTGCTTAATTACCGAACTGGTTTATCTCACGTTGAAATTTTGCTCTTATTCTCCATAAAAATGGATTTGGATTTTTTTTTGGTTAAAATGTGATTTTTTTTTATGGACAAGGAAAAATGAAGCATTTTTGGGTTTTTTAATTGATTGTCAAAATATGGGGAAATAATTTTCCTAACTAATGTTGGCTCAGTGGGTATCTTGTTTCAGTTTTATGAAGAAGAGCCATTTTTTTCTGAATTTTGTTTCATTCCTTTTTGCTGATGAATGAGCAACCAAGAAGCTTTCCTTGCTTTTTGGTCCCTTTTGAAGATACTCGATTTCTGTGTAAATTGAAATTTCTGTTTCCTTTTTAGTCTTATTTGTATTCATTTTGTTCAATGGAGTAACCTGTGTTACTTATAAAGTTTTAGATTAACTTTTATTTAATGCTTAGAGTTTACCTTTAAGCTCAACTAAGTAGTTGCATTTATAACAAATCTGTATGTAATTAAACCTGGTGAATGACGTAATGAATCTTTTAGTGATCAGTGAGGATTTAGATGATATCAGATACTTCTATGCGGTTCAATCGCGTTACTCCAATTTTGCAATAGTGATGTGAAAGTGTTAATTCTTGTTTGAACAACTCTATAATGTACAATAGGTTCTGAGGCTCCGTTGCTAGGAAATTTCTTAATTGTGTTTGTAATTTTGTTGTAGTACTTATTTGTCTTTTAGATTATTGTTTATCTATGTAGGTGCATAATGCATCAAGTCACAGTTCTTAGTGCTCGATTCTTCAAAGGAGGCACTTGTAAGTATTCTTACAGACTCATTCTTGATATTTTATTAATTTTTGGCTGCAATGTGATTTTTTTTCAATTAAATTGAACCTGGTTCAACTGAAAATACTCTTCTGTTCATTCAATTGTTTTATATACTTATTGAATATAAAGTGTGGCACTTCAACCAAAATGTCGGTTGGTATGTTGATCTCTTCTTGTATAGAATCCAATTGTATGTTTCTTCGAATGAACAACTTTAATTAGTTTCGTTGTAATACAACTGCCTGGAATTGAAATTCACAAGTTAATACTATGCATTTGTAGTTGAACTTTTTCTTCTTTTTTTTGCATTTATCCTTCAACAATAGTTATAAGCTGTTTCTAGTTTTTCATGTATGCTGTTTCCTCTTGCTTTAAGGAACATAAAATGGATGCTCCAAGAAGAATAGGTGACCGATCAACCAGTGATGTTGTTGTGAGGCTACGAACTCAAGAAGGGCGTGATGAGTGGATGTATTGTCACTCCAACATCCTTGTAGAGAAGAGCAAATATTTTGCTGACCGTCTCTCTGAGAATTGGCCAACTTGTCAGATCCTTGACTCACGCAACTGTGTTGAGGTTTACTGCCAGGAGTCAGAATTTGATCACCATGTCAATGTTATACGCCTTCTCTATGTTGTTATAGATGGCTCAGTTGATGACTTATGGAATGGTGTAAAAAATGCCATCGGCATTCTCCAAGTCGCTGTTGAACTTGGGTGCCCACAAATTGTAACTGCTTGTGTGAACTACTTAGAAGCTGTCCCTTGGGAAGAGTCCGAGGAGGAAGAGATTCTAAGAATCATACCAGGCATGGGTTCTGAAGTGGAGCCAATTCTTGCCCGTCTCCAACCAGTCAATCCATCAGCTATACATGGAATTTTTATCTCAACTCTTCGATTTGCCACGTCATCGCCACCTTCTCTGATGAATGATCTTAAATCTTCTGCTCAAGAGCAACTTGAGTACATGGTAACTGAAGATGACGATTCCCCTCTATTACTTGCCAGTGATGATATCAAATCTGAGGTAAAAGATTGTATAGGGAGACTATTTTCTAGATTTAACAGTCTGTTAGAAGCTTTTTTATGTGAGACCACAGAATCGGTTGGTGAGGCAGGAAAGATGACATCATTTCAGTCCTATTTAGTGGACTTTTCATGGGCTTGTCAGCTGTTGACAAAATTGGAAATAATGAGGGAGTTCGTTAACAGTTGGGTGGATGCATCTGATAAAATAGTTAAGGTCATGCAATCAAGTTCAACAGTTGAAATAATTGAGACAAAGATGAAGGTTGTTGAGGTTGTGGCAAAAGTTTTGGAGTCAATAGGTTATGGCACTGTTATTTTGCCAACTGCTAAACGGCTTCACATGGTGAAAGTCTGGCTTCCGTTTGTGCAGGTTACGAAACCTCTGATTGATTCTGCCATGACTAATGAGGAGGATTCTTTGGCATTTAAGATAGATGGTGAACTTTGGCAGTCATTGGAATCAACATTTGTTTCCATAATTCTTGCGTTGCCATCTGCAGACCAAGCTGAGATTTTGACTGAATGGTTAGGAAATGAACATGTACAGTATCCAGATCTAACTGAGGCTTTTGAGGTGTGGTGTTACAGGTCCAAGGTTGCTAAGCGGAGACTGGCATTGTTCGGGAGCAGCCATTGTACGTCTAACACACTCTGAACCTTTTCTTCCATATTGTTTACGCTTCTGATTCTGTAACCATTTGCTCAGTCAAGCATTGAGCATTCAAGGTTTTTCATTTTTGTTTCTTTCTATAGATCAGGTTACAGTTGCAATTTAAAGGGGGAAATGTCATTAAAATGAAGAGATGTCTAAGTTAGCGACCCCCTCTGCTTTTTGTTTGATTTGAAATTGAAATTTTAGTTTTTGTAAATCATGTGATGCTAGATCCTCTGTAAATGTATAAACCAGGAGGTGATTAGTCTCATAGAAAATGCCCCTTCTGGACTCACGCAGCCAGGTTATCAGTTTTTTGCTGGCCAACTTTGATTTTAAATACAAAAAACCTAGTTGAACCCAAACTTTTGAGAAAGTATTGGTGGGCATGGGGGGTTTTCTCTGCTCGCAAAAACACTTTTATTGCATAAAATTAGCTTCGTACAAATAAAAAACAAACTTCCCAAGCATCAGCATAAAGCTGAAATCACAAGGTGGTGCTTACATGGATGGGCAAGCTTCAAACGTCAAGGATCAACATATAAAATGGTTTTTATGTGTTTTGGGTCCAAACAAGATTTTATATGTACCCCAAAATAAAAATGGCATTCCATTTGAACTGTTATTGTCAGAATGAATGGTAAGATAATGTATTATGGGATAGAAAATATAATTTGTTGGCCCTTTGATTTATACCTTTTAGTCATTTTCTACTAGTAGTTATAGTTGATTATTCCAATTATACTTGCTGAACAAGCAATTTTGAAAAAATATAAATAAATATCCAAACAGAGAAGAGAAGATTGAATTTGAACCATAATGAGTTCGGGTACAGAAGATTGAGCATTAATAGACTATTGCTGCACTTTTGTCTAACACTAGATGACTTTTTATTCAGCCTTAATCCTCTCTTTCCCTTTTTTTTTTTTTTTGTAAGGTTTTCATGTACAGAAGCAATAGGGTCCCTTATCTCAAGCCTTAACGCTTCGTGCTGCATTCATGATTCAAAATGTTTCAATCTGCAAGCATTGATAAACTCACATCAAAGCTTGAGCACTTTCATCAAGAATGTTCATGGTAACAGTTTTGCTCCAAAGAATTCAGTTGCAGCAAACTCTGCTTTAAACTTTCCACATCCATTTGATGAAATACTATTCACACCGAAATTGACTAAAAATTGAGATATTAGTATACCCGAGTAACTAATTTTATGATATCAATCCATCTATCCAATCCCCAAAACTTACAAAATTAATATACAATCCTCAAATATAAGCTGAGATCCTAAGCTGTCTAAGGACTCAAATTGTGGTATGCAAAGTATAAACCTATACTAGGTGAAATTTCATTCTTTACATTACCATGCATTTTCCTCGTTCCCTAAAGGAGGGAAAATGATGAGAACATCAGGAAATGGTGAAAGAGGACCCTTGAAACCATTCCCTGTAAGTTTGTTGAATCCGAAATGTCTAGCTCAAATCATAGTCATCAGGCAACATAGTCTGGTAACAATTGCGCCGCAAACCTTTTTCTGTTCTGAATGTTGATGTTCTCATATGCAGCTGAAGAGTGAGGTGTTGAAGGGTTTATAGCACCAAATTCATTTTGTTCACCAATGTCTAACCTTCTCCCCATTTGCATGCTTTGGTTTGGGAGAAATGTTTGATGAGTTCCAGATAAGGAGAGGTTTTCACAGTGGGGAAGACCAAGAGTGAGGGAAACGCCATTACCTGAAAACCTTGGAGCAAACTGTTCTGCATCAAACCTTCCAATTTCTCCAATTGGATATTGCCCAAAACCTCCCATGAAATTTGTATTGGTTCCCATGAATGAGTAGCCATCTTTGCCAAACTTCATAGAAACCTCATCGTTTGCCTCACTTTGCTTGATATCCATGTTTATTGATGGGAGACTAGTTGGGGACTGCAACAGTTCAATGCTCCTAGGTTTCTTTGGACTTCCTCGGGTTATCCCTTCCAATTCGGATGAGCCAATGAGGGAGAATCCTGACTGGTTGCGGACATTTCCTGCAAGGGGGGACGTTGAAGCTGTAGTAATGGACATTGAGGAAGCATTATGGTTTGTGACATTGTCCTGTTTGGAATTGAAACTTTTAGCCTGGTTCTCTGCAGGACTTTTCTCTGGAGCAGTGGATTTGGATGTTGAATCTTCATTATTCTGGTTCTTGCTTGTTTTGTCCTCTGAACCATTCTGTTCTTGCTCCTTGATTTCCTCCATGTACATCTCTTCCACCATTGGTTTCCAAAGCCGGACTCGAGCATTTATGAACCAATTAGACACCTGAATTATCACAAGAACATCCTAGAATCAGACATGACAATATTGGGACAATAGTTGCAAGAAAATGCTAAAAAAACATAGAATTTAGCCAGTACCTGGCTCCTAGTAAGCCCTGTTTGTTTTGCAAGCATGTGCTTGTCTGAGTCTTTAGGATAGCTGAAATGCAAACAAAGAAATCAGATGCTATTGTAAAATCAAAAGGACCTTTCAAATTTAGAAGCTTTAAAGAATATATCAAGTGTGGCATTGAGAATTATTTAAAATACTTACGGATGGAGAAAGTGTTCAAAGAGCCAAGCTCGAAGAACAGAAACTGATCTTTCTGGTAATCCTCTTTGCGGTCTCCAAGCATTGTGCTGCATCATTCCCAACTGCTGAAGTGTTCTTTGTTGTCGAAGGTGATGATCCACAAACTTAAGTCTCGAGCCCTCAATTTTCACTCCTAGGCAATCCTCTTCACCCAAACTCGTGTTTGCAGCTCGAATTTGGCCTGTTATTGCATCTTTCAAACACCGAAACTGCTTGGAGATGGTCTTTAATGCAAGAGATGTATATGTTTTAGCAGAGTTAATTCCAGCTGCTTGCTCAAATGAGGAAATTACAATCTGCATCTGGTGATGGTATTGCCTGTACTTTTGATCCACCTGGAAAAAAATTATGAAAAAAAGACTCAACAACTAAATATCAATAATTCAATATTGTACGCTTAAACATGGACTTCGAACATCTAAAAGAACATTGAAATTCAATGTTGGTAACCAAATTGCAAGAACCTGGCATACAAATTTTTAGCTCTAGTCGGTAAATTTCATTGATTTAAGGTCTAAAATCAAACTACTGCTTTTAATTTCAACAAAAATCGACAAACTTTATCTTCTTCTTCAAAGATCGACATCTAAACGGATCATAAGGCCCCAAAATTATTAAAATCCCAATTGATGACTCAGTGGATGTAACTTTTATCCCAGTGTTTTCCATGATTCTCTTCATTATTATCTATTACTTTATATCATCCGGCTCAATTGGTAAAGACTCAACTCAGTTTCCCCCGTATTAGAACAATATTTTTCTTGAAAAACACAACTTTCCCAAGAAAACAAACTTATTTTCTTATACACTTTCACTTTCAAAGAATCAAACCAAACCCAACCAAACCATATCCAATAGACAACTCTATATATGTATGATAAATATCTATATAATTTCCATACCTCATCAAGCATGCTAATTAACTTTGCTTTCTTCATCTGAATTTCCTGTCTCTCTGAAGTAGTCAGCTCGGCACCGCGCTTCCCACCTGCCTCCTCACCACCAGAGACATCTCCGGCCACAGCCGACGATTCTCCGATAGCCTTACTGCTATTGCTATTATTTCCACTACCCTTCTTAGTCAATTCATTCTTCGTAATCGCAGTGTTGTTTACATTAACAACCTCATCAAGAAGCTCTTGAGCAGCCTTTAGGTATTTAGAGCCCAACAACACACGTTGTATACCCGACACCCCATTGGTAATCCCTGAACCAGAAGAAGCTGACCCGCCTGAAACCCGCATGTCCTCACCTGAAACTGCTTGAGCCTGTGACCCATAACCGGACTGCTGTTGGGAAGAAAGGCTCAAAGACAGTCCCTGCTGAGCGCGTGGCGTGTCACGCGCTGCTCCAGAAGGGTCAATAGGGTTGTACAAGTTGTAATGAACGCGCTGGACGAGGCCATGCAAGGGGGAGATATCGTTGGAAATAGGGTCTTGGTTGGCGCCTGAGGTAACAGGGAGGGGGATGCCGACGAATTGCTGAGTGTGGGGAGATGGAGCGTGAGGAGACAGAGCGTTGGAGTTGAGGAAAACAAAGTTGTTTGGCTGGGGAGGAGGGGTATCCGAGTACTGAACATAAGCAGGGTTCATAAGTACGAGGGTTTGGAGCCCATCAGCTGCTTGGATTTCGGGGTTCCCATGAAAGTACGTCGCCATCGGATGCTGTTTTGTTTCTAGGAGTTTTCAAAAATCTAATGTTATTTTCTGTGCTTTCACTTCACTGAAAAGAAAAACAAAGACCAAGAATTACTACTAACTACTTGCATAGTCACAAAATCCATCTATATAACATCAATCAAAATATACAACACCAAAGCTTAGACATGCTTTACCTTATTCTTCACAATGACTCCTGAGTCTTTGAATCAACCCATTTGAGGGCTTTGCTAGGTTGATGAATAGCGGGAGAAAATCGGGGAGAGAGAGAGAGAGAGAGAGAGAGAGAGAGAGGTACTTTTTAGAGTAGCAGCAGCGGTGATAAATGGGAGATTGATGGTCTTCGGATGATCAAGTGGATCCTGGAAAAACCAATGGAAAGAAAAGGAGTGATGACCCCACAAAGTTCAAATACAAATAACTGTGATTGGTTCAAGGTTTGACAACAAGTCATGTTACTTGTCGTGCCTCTAGTTCTTCATATTCTATAGCTTGAAGACATGGGAGTTGAAGGAAGATGAAAAAGAGCGAAGGGAGTATGGGAAAGAAAGCTATGGTGTTTATATAACAGATAGAGAATATGAGAGAGAAGGATCAGGTACAGAGATTGAAAGGGAGAGGAAGAGAGAGAGAGAGAATTGAAAATAATTGATTATAGTAATACTAGTAAATAATATTGGTACCTGCTGTGATGGCAATCTAAGTGTACACGTGCTTCATGATCATCTTCTCTGCAATGGGAAAGAAGGATATTTTTTTAGCATGCCAAAAAACCACACCAAATTTTGAGAAAGAAGAACTCATATAGTTACAGCTGAAACATCATAACTTGAGACAAAGGGAAAGAGAAGAGAGATAGGGGATACCACCATTCACTACTCTATACCCACCTGTCTGAATATAATCTATCTATGGAATTTATGATTTTTTTTCTATCAATTCCTAGCTTCAGAATATAGAGAGGAAAGCAGGTCCTTTGTCAGACTCAAAATCTCTGCAACTCCCCCCACTGAAAAGGGCAAAAAAAGAAAGAGAGAGATGGGGTTAGAAAGGCTGAGAAAAAGATACCCATCTTTATACACTTCATTATCCACAGATTTATGATAATTTTTCTTTAATCTTTATAATTCTCATTTCTTTTTTTTCCTTTTTAGAGAAAAAATATTTCTCTTTCAAAGAAACTAGGAAGATATGTAGGAGTTGTAAATTGAATTCAACGAATTGTACCATTTTTATTCTTTTTTTTATATTTTTGGTTTTTGCTTTAGACAGATTGCTAGGAGTTGTATCAGTGCTGCAACTGTAAAAGGTTGTTATCCTACGCAGATCATTAACCCCTCCCCTTCCCCTTCTCTATCTTTCTCTTTTATGGCTGTTAGGGTAACATTGAACAGAGCAAAACAAGAGAGCTTCTCTGATTTGACCCTCCCTTTTCAAATCATTTGATGCAGCCTAGCAACATTGATCACCACAGGAAAACCAACTTTTCGTTTCTTTTTTCCGTGAAAGAAAGAGAAAGAGAAGAGAGACGTTTTCTGATATATTATATATAAGGATTTTATATAAAAAAATTATGAAATATTTCTGTGTGTCAGAAGATTACAAACAGCTGAAAAACGAGGAAACGTCTCCTTCCACACCAAAGCTTAATCAAGAAAAGAAAATTATAATAAAAAAAAAAGAAAAAAAAAAGATGATGATAATGATAATGATGATGAACAGAGAGGGTGGAGGGTCCTACTCCTCAATTCTACATTTAATATCTCTTTGTCCTTTTGCCTTTTTTTCCTAATTTTTTGGGCTAATATTTTTGTGGTTGGATGACAGATTTTGAGGATAACGCAATTAAATTGCTAAGGAACACAGACCAACCACCATGACACCTACTTTAGTGCTTGAAAAATGTTAAATACAAAATGAAATAAAAACTAGTAATAGTACAAATATATAATAAAAAAATTTATCTTCTATATATATTTAAAAATTTAAAGAAAACCCATTTTTTGGAATTTTGAATTTGAATATAAAAACTTGAAATTTACCGACAAGTAAATAGTCTGATAATGAATCAAAACAAAAAGAGTGGGGTCCTAATCAAATGCATGAATGTGTGAATTTGAATCAATTGCTCCCAACTGTGTAGGACCTACCTGAATTTCTCTCATGCATCAAACCCTTTACCAAAATTTAGTAGAAAATTAAATTTAAAAAAAAAAAAGAAAAATCCTCTGATATAAGTGTCCATTAGCTACTTTTTGAGATTAAAGTTCTTTATTTCTCTCCCAACTTTTAATTTTGTTATATCATCTGTTGTCATCTTCCCAATTCAACCTTTGCAGGGCTCCAAAGGGTTCCTAAAAACCAAAGAAACTGATTTATTAAAAAGATAAGAGAAGTTGACCTTTATGGGGCGTAGGAATAAAAAGAATTAGATTCAAGAAGATATACTGTAGGGGAGAGCAGCTATATATTCAATTAATTAACTCTCTGAACAACAAAATCTACCAGTTTTTTCTCTATCTGATCAGCCACACTTTCAAGAAACACTGCTATCACCATCAGTAACAATTATAGTAGTACAAGAGTTAGCAGTGACAGGCTTTTGAGGTTGTGATGTTAATAGGAGTAATGGTTTTCCTAACTTCATTGACACATTTATTTATGTTTTATTTCGTCTTCATCAAGTAAACCAATTTTTTTATTGGTTATGGGCACTACAAATATATATTTAAGGGGATTTAAAAGAACTGTCATTCTCTGATCAAATCAAAATCATCACAAGTCTAATTTATTACCGAAGTCATCTACTAACATCTACTAGTAGTAGCATACAGACTGCTTACTGCTAGGATTCTGCCATAAAATCTTGATGTAGTGACAGGAAACTTTTCACTTTTGTTTGTCAGGCGGAGATCATTAACTTTGAGTTCCACTGCTGGACAACCTCCCCCCCCCCCCCCCCCCCCACCCCCAATGCCATAAAAAGTAAGCTCGAAACTCACCTGAAAGAGTACCCACGTGGTCAGTCTCTTCTTGAGTTATAAAGGATTCTTCTGTTCTATCTTCAGTTTTCACATCGGCAAAAAAGAGTTGTAACTTTCGCCCTTTATTAAAAGCTTTAGTATAAAATTCATGGATTGACTGCACCGATGTCCTGTTTAGCTGAAAACTGATCCGATGCAGTACAATATTTTTTAATAGGAAAAACAAATTATTAAATTCATGTTCATGGCCTTTATAATAATATACTCCATTTGTCTTATACTTTTTAGATGTTTCAAAATTATGTCATATTTTTTTAACATAAAAAAATTTAAATTTTTTATATTTTAAAATTTTTAAAATTTTTTTAAACTTTTTGACATAAAAAATTATGAAAATTTAATTTTATAAATAATTTTAAATTTTAATATTAAAATCAAAATTTTTTCTTTAAATTTCATAAAAATCAATATATAAAAAATATTTTGAGATGAAAAGAGTATGAAAAGTTAATGCACGTGACCAACAACCAATTGGCTAAGCCTGTTCTCGTCGCTATAAAATATTCGGGTTCAAGTTTCGCTTCTGATCTTTTGTTAAAGTTAATTTCAAATACAGACAATGAGATTAGTACAATCAATGGCTTCAAATTTTGTCTACCAAAAGGAAAATTTTAGCTTGATAATTGAAAGTTTAGACACCTACCCTTTCATTTTGAACTGGTTTTAAGTAAGGCCTAATTAATTAGTACTTGTAAATGAAACTCCTTTTAGAGTGAATTTTTGCATGGTGCCATCAAAAAAGCGTAGACGTCCTTTTCTTGCCATGCAAAATACCTGGTTTCCTGGATAGTCTTGAGTCATGATCTTTTTGTCATGTGTTTTGCCGTACGCCTTAATATTTTATAATATTATTAACATCCACAGTTAATTAATGCTTCAGACTTCTTGTAATGATTTGATTAAGGAAACATTGGTTAGATTAAAAAAAAGTTTATATGAGAATCTCAAGCGAAGCTTCCCACCATTGCCTTGACACTGACCCTAATTAAATTTTTTTCATAGTATTTTTTTTCTTTTAACCTTTTTCTCCTCCAAAAAAATTGCTATCAGCTCAATATACTTACTTAATTAAATCATTAAGCATAGTTTTGTTTATCCTAGTACATTGTGGCAATGATATGTTCCCTTAATGGAATCTATGGGATTTACAAACATACAATGAAAATGGTGCACATCACATCAAACTAAAACCCATCAAAATTTATGCCTTTCTTAATTGAATATTCTATCTCATTTTTTTTCTTCTCTCTCTTAGGTGAATATTTTTTATTAATATTTTTCTATGATGATGGTGAGAAGATTGTATTGAAAGAAGTGGGTATGGAGTTGGAATGGCTGCCCCTTTTTTGTGTTCTTTTTTTCTGCATTTACTCCAATTTTATTATGATGGAACTCTTTGTTGCTGCTTGTCTCTTCTTGCCCAAAATTCCAATTTCTTTTGGGAAAGAAAAAGACTAGAAGATAAAGAAAAGCATTGAAAAAGCTGGAAGATTTCATGCTTGAAAAAAATTGTTTGCGTGTCAAAAAAGGGGAAAATTAAAAGGAAAATTAAGATAAAGAAAGGTGAAAGTCGGCATATGGAAAATTTCAAGCAGAAAAAAGAAATACATGTGTACCAATAAATAGATATAACTCTAGAAGACTATATGGCTATAGTTTCATCCCCATCATCAACACCATGGTTGAATTATGAAGTAAAATATTTAATTTATAGGTTCCAATGTGGGAAAATTGGTGTTACAGAAGGAAAATAGCGCACCAACTTTTCAATCTTTAGGTTGGGTTGGTCAACTGTTTCCTAGCCACACCATTGCGCGCAAAAATATATAAACCTAAACCTACATAATTCTTTCATTTTGCATATTTGATTTGTAACTAAACAAAACACTCACACACACACACAAAAAAAGCATATTATATAAATGAATAAAATGTATAATTTCAATTTAACATTAAACCATCTATGAATCATTTATTAATGTTAAATAAAATTAATTTAATTTAATTATTTGATATATATAATAATTATTGATCTATACTATGCTTTACATTAAAATTATTTATTATTATTAAAAAATAAATTTCGTTTTAAATAATAATATTACCGTATTATATCATTAATGTATAAGGCACGTGTAGAATAAACTAGTAATAACTACAACAGGTGGTGGACTCCCTATGATATATATGCGCTGTAATGAATCTCAACTAAAATGTGCCAAAAATATTAGTTAGTTTGCATGGTTTTTCACGTGCATTTAAATTGGCATTCATAAATGAATATCTATTTATATTGGATGATATATATTGATAACAATAATAATCCTTTCACATTATATCAATTACATGATATATGCATATAGTTTGTTTGTTTGTTTATCTAATTTCTACTTGTTTTAGTCTCCATTCCATCCCCACCCACCCATAGATTACAAAGAATTACATAATTTCTAACATGAACATACGAGCATATCTCTTAATTTACATATCTTATATTTTACAATATTAATTTCTATGATAATAAAAATTTCTGTCAATATATATCAGTAAAATATTAAATTTTTAATTTCAGTAATCAATATTCATTTTTTAATAATCCCAAGTATCAATATTTTTTTTGATAAATATGTTGCAAAATGCAAATTATATATATATATATATATATACACAGTTGTGGATCTAGCATTTCCCTATATATATATATATATATATATACATATATATATATATATATATCTACATCTTAGTAAGTTCTTATAGTGATTGATGTATTTATCAAAAAAGGGAAAAAAAAAAAAAAAAGAACATCAGCGCCAAGCCTAATTTAAAGAGATAATCCTTCAAAAATTTTTGTGAAGAACATTAAGCTGATTAATTCAAGCTTATTGACTACGCAGACAGAGAGACACAGAGAGGTTGCTTTCATTTATAGACCCATTTTGTTTTTGGCCACATATGGACCCATTTCAATTAACTACAAAAATGAGGCTGCTTTTGAGCCCTACCATATTATTCTTTTCTTCGCTGGAATGCCCGTCCCAAGACGCCACCATTATTGGGTATTTTCTCAAAAGAGTAAATACCTTCACATTAGAGGAAAAAAAATAATTCACGCGCTCAGAATAAAGTGTGTGCACATACATACGTATATAAATTCATAATATTTACGTAATCTTATCATAATTAAATTAAAAAAATAAAATGTATATATCATAATTTAAAAAAAAAATTTAATTTGATAGAAGTTTCTTCCTTTCCTTTCTTTTCTTTTCACTAGTAAGTATTGAAATGTAGTAGGCTTGACACTTTTTCCTTTTTATTGCTACATTTCACAAACCAAATCAAATTCATTGAACTAACCATAGGCACTTCCATCATTGTCTATGTTTCTTGTTCTGCTTTTTAACATGGGTGAAAGAACCATTTTCTTTCTTTTTACTTAATGATAAATCATTTTGGGACTAAGGAGTTAGCCGACAACATGGGAATTGTGTATTCCTCGC